GGCCATGTTGGATATTTGTTTAAAGTGACGCCATGTTGGATATTTGTTTAAAGTGACGCCATGTTGGATATTTGTACTTACGCATTATGATCAGATGAGCGTAAGAAAGTGACGGGCACTTTCCCTGTACATAAGTGACGTCACACTTGTAGCTTCCTTCGTCGTCCATTTCTAAGGGAGAGATTCTTAGATAGGCAGTAGACTCTTCAACCATAAAATCAGCTCTGTCCGGATTGGCTAATTCCTGAAGCGGCTTTTCTACGTCATCGCTGTACAGGTATAGCCTTTTCCATTCAGTGGAGGTGTTTTTGGTCCACGTGATGAAATACACTTCGCCACACGAAGCAACGTCGACGTTACAGGGCAGTAGGGCAGATTCTCCAACAAGTCCCATCACGGTCGAACTCGGATCTGAAGAAAAATAACAAGTCCGTTAATGATCTAATTGTATTAAACACTGTACAGACAGTTATATGTAATTAGTCACCTTGACTAAGAAGGCATTGTCGCAGGACCTGCGCTTGTGAAATGTCATTGAACCCTAAGCTGACCTTTAACCTAATCTTAGTTTTATTTCATAATTTGCTCCATTATATGTTTCTTTGTCTCTCTTCCTAGAGCTAGAGCCGGGACTGCACTGTGGTCGAGTTAAAAAACTCACTTTTCATACCTTATTTAGGTTTCATTATGAAAGACATTACATTACAATGTTGAAACATACATTAAATCCGAGCATGTTATCAGAACAAGTACTAAAGCTATGTTTGGATAGTATCGTGATAAATTAATATAAACATTAAGATCGCACCAGCTGAGATCTCTTCATCGTCTGTCCTTTTGTGATAATACTTATATTCAAACTGGGTTCGTTTCTATTGACAATATGGATTAACCACCAGCATTATTGTGACGTTGTCTCACTTAAGGACAGACTGTGGAACAAATCACTTTGGTTTGAAATGATGAATGTCACTGATTTATGTAACAGTTCGTAGGAATCTTGTCGACTATAAAAAGTTTGATCGCATTCTGGTCGTTTTCAAGTCGTTGATTTTTTCTTTAAGTTAGCAAATTTAACCAGAAGATATAATGGTGGATATAATTAGCTGTTAAGGTGATTAGGTGCGTCTGGTGGGTGATGATGATGATCAACTGGGCCTCTAATAACCACCTTCTGGAGAAAAAACAGAAGAACAGACGGAAACTGTTGTCAGTCGTTCATCATACTTATTCTTATATCAACTGATTCAAAAACAAAACCTAAACCTCCCCATGATCATCATTGCAGTGTCTAGAGAAGAGAAGTATCGTATTACAACCCAATCAAAACATTGTTCACAAAAGTAAAGAATCCACCAGTCAGAACCGTCGTTACATAAGCTATTGTAGTCCAGCCAAAATAATAATCTCATAAACCCTAGGCTATATTTCCAATCTAAATATTTGTCACAACACTCTGGATAATAAGCCAATGGGGACAGTTGTTACAAAAGCTCTGGGTAATATACCAATGGGAACAGTTGTTACATAAGTTATGTAACAACTGTTCCCATTGGTATATTACCCAGAGCTTTTGTAACAACTGTTCCCATTGGCTTATTATCCAGAGTGTTGTGACAAATATTTAGATTGAAAATATAGCCTAGGGTTTATGAGATTATTATTTTGGCTGGACTACAATAGGCTCTGGGTAATATACCAATGGTAACAGTTGTTACATAAGCTCTGGGTAATAAACCAATGGGAACAGTTGTTACATAAGCTCTGGGTAATATACCAATGGGAACAGTTGTTACATAAGCTTAGGGTAATATACCAATGGGAACAGTTGTTACATAAGCTCTGGGTAATATACCAATGGGAACAGTTGTTACATAAGCTCTGGGTAATAAACCAATGGGAACAGTTGTTACATAAGCTCTGGGTAATATACCAATGGGAACAGTTGTCATAGCTCAACCTCTGGTCATAATTTATTAAACATATACATTTATAAGAGTTTTCTGGCTAACATGCATTGTTTGATACATTATTAGATAACATTCCCGAGTATCAGACTCAGCGTGCATGCAAATATATCAAAAGCGTTGCTGTAATTGGTGCGAGGCTTCTTTGACAAAGCTGTAATGCAAATTTAGCTCAAAATTCGAAGCGCCTATAGTTCGGACAATGTAAAAGAATTAAATAAACGTTGACAGTCAGCCCCATGAATACTAATATTATTTTCCCTCGAGTAATTCATACTGTTACAAGGCGGTCTTCTCAGATTTTAAAGGCTCTCAATAGGGACATGTTGTAAAATAGAAATTTGGAGACATGGAAAATCCATTACTTACGTATGATGTAGAAGAATCAGTCCCACTTAGTCAATGAAAATGATGATTTACATTCATAACGATAAAAAATATAAGCAGTAGTATAAGAATAGTGTGTGCTTCTTACTGAGATCACGTTTGTTGCTTATGAGAAAATTCACACAATGACAAAATCAATAGTTTGGACGTTTGGGTTTTTTTAATTACAGCATTAGTTTAATGTATATATTTAATCATTCACACACTGATTACTGTCCGCATTTTACAATCTCCGTCTGTTTCTAGTAAAGGGGAATTAAATTAAAACAATTACACACGAACCTAGGGGGAGAGAGAAAGACACACTTGAAAAACAGACGTCTGTTTGTAGTAAAGGGGGAATTAAATTAAAACAATTACACACGAACCTAGGGGGAGAGAGAAAGACACACTTGAAAAACAGACGTATGTTTGTAGTAAAGGGGGAATTAAAATAAAGTGTACCATCAGGTACCATGATGATGACAAAACCTTGTCGAAACGTTGTACATTTGCTGTTATATTAAAGTTTTCTTCATTACCCATTCAAGCCGTCTCCAGCCGTTATTAATTGATAAGTTATTTTGATTGGTGGTACGAAAGACTGAACAATTCCGATCAGTTCAACCCTTTTGCCCACAAAAGTTGCCCATTCATTTGTTGTTAGACCGAATGAAAAGAGTATATTTCTTAAAACTTTCTTATAACACTAACGGTTGTAACGTTTATAGAATAGGCTTAAGAATCGCCGCTCTACATGCTTGCTGAATAGCTAACTTCAGCCAGCTCGTGTTATCTTTGAACAGCGACATCTTTTCATGAATAAGTAATGTATCCGTTCTTATCTAAGACCGTGAACTTTCAAGACTAAAGAACAATGTTTTAGGAATGACGCCGAGATCCAAGCTACTGTTGTGATCTCTTTTCAGATAAGCCTCGTTCAAATGACAATTTGTAATTTCTGGACTCGTTATGAGAAGAAAAACAAAACAAAACCTATATCTCGTACATAGCGTCTTGAATTTTTAAAAGTCACAGACTCCAGTTCAATGTTTACAGTTTTTATTACAAACTATCTTGTAATTGTGACAAACTAAAGGGAAGACAGCGAGTCAACAACACCCACCGCCAACTCTTGGGCTACTCTAATCGAATATTGGGAGTGGCCATAACATTATGACGCTCTCACGGCTGACAGAACGAGCATGTTCGATGCTGGGATTCGAACCCGTGACGCACCGATCGGGAGTCAAGCGCCATAACTACCATGCCATGACAGGGCCCCGAATTAATTCCAATGGTAATGGTGTTATTATAAGTAGCTTGAGAAATATCTATTAAAATTATATGTATGTAATACAATTAGTAATATTGATTAAATTGAAAAGATCAACGGTAAAGACTGGGTTTCGGTGCCCATTGTGGGCATAGCACAGATAGCCCATAGTGTAGCTTTTTGATTTAGAAACCCAAACAAAGAAGCAATAAATTAAATTATCTAACAACAACCGTAAACTATTATATATATATTATATTAAAGTTTTGTCAAATAGTACATCTTTATAGGAAGACATCTAAGGTCGGTCGTAGCCCCCCAAAACAGTGTTGGTGATCTCCAGGAAGCCCCCCAAAACAGTGTTGGTGATCTCCAGAAAGCCGCCAAAACAGTGCTGGTGATCTCCAGAAAGCCCCCCAAAAGAGTGTGTGGTGATCTCCAAAAAGCGCCCAAAACAGTGTTGCTGATCTCCAGGAAGCCCCCAAAACAGTGTTGTTGATCTCCAGGAAGCCCCCAAAACAGTGTTGGTGATCTCCAGAAAGCCCCCAAAACAGTGTTGGTGATCTCCAGGAAGCCTCCAAAACAGTGTGTGGTGATCTCCAGGAAGCCCCCAAAACAGTGTGTGGTGATCTCCAGGAAGCCCCCAAAACAGTGTGTGGTGATCTCCAGGAAGC